CAATTTTTTCTTGAAATTTTCCTCCTATAAATAAAAATATTCCATTTTATTCATCAAAGACATCCAAGAACCGAAAAACAAGCTAATCCAACACCTCCTATAAATAAAAATATTCCATTTTATTCATCAAAGACATCCAAGAACCGAAAAACAAGCTAATCCAACACCTCCTATAAATAAAAATATTCCATTTTATTCATCAAAGACATCCAAAAACCGAAAAAAACAAGCTAATCTAACACCGTGTTCTCAACTTGCAAGTACAATGAGAGAATGTAGCGGATTACTATCTTAGTAAAGCCTGACTGACTCAGAAATCTCTGTGGCAAATTCTCCTACATCTAGCTAGACTCCCAGAACCTGCTAAGTCATAGCCCAGCTATAAAGGAAACAGACGTGTAGCACGGAACACGTTTCTTTAGTACGTATATTGCAGATAAAGTGTATATGCAGGGGGCTTAATCATGATCAGGATGGCTGATTAGGTTAAACAAACAGAGGTTAATGATTGGTCGCTGTTTGTACGGTGGCTGCACACAGAGTTGTACGGCCGCACCTCCCAATCCTGACGAGCAGACATGCAGGCATACGATGGCGCACAAAGCAGCTTAAGTAATCTCACGTTTTTCCCCAAATTTGACTCAGCCAACAAAGCTGCTGAAATTTGTAGCGGATAAATGCACTAATAAGCCTTGACTATACTCAGGAATCTCTATGGCAGATTCTCCTGCATTTGGAATGACTCCCAGAACTAGCTACGCTACCTCAAGAGTGAAGAGAAAACAGAAGTATGACGTGGAACACGTTTATTTCGTATAACGTGCTGTAAACAGTGACGTGGGATTGAATTTTTATATACCTTTCCGAGGTGATAACCACGTAATGACTTTGGCCATTGATTGGTCGGATAACCACATACTGGATTTGACTGCTGAATGATCGTCTTGGCTTTGGTTATTGATTGGTCAAGAGGCTTCTGCCCTTGATACGCTAAAGTTGTGTTCCCCAACAACTTCAACCTAGATGACTAATTTGACTTAACCAAACGAAAGGTCAATCCGCTCACTAGGCGAGGATAGGGTGAGCACCAAAGCCGAGGCATTTGACTGTGAAACGAGTGCGTTAACTACTGTCACAAATTTTTTTAGACCTGGTATTTTGGCAAAATACAGATTATTCACTCTTCTTTGCTGAGTGAGTGGAACAAGGCAGTATGTGATGACCTACCAAACATCGTAATATTAATTGCAAGCACTAGTTGTGGCAATGTAAAAGAGCGGTCAGGAAGAGGACGTCCACATGGTAGCAAGCCGGTGTATAAACATTAGCTATTTTGAGCCTATCACAGCAGTATATCTCCTTTTGACCGGTATTTTCAACAGCGTTGAGCTAAATTCACATTTTTAAATGACCTGATGAGCCACTATATCAAATTAGAGCGTATTTATTCACTCCACCTGGCAAAGCTACAACGGACTGGAATCTCCATGACTCCTATGCGCAAAAATGCAGCAACCATGCCACATCTCCACATCACATGAACTATTCCAACATACGCAAAAATTTTGGGATTGTAATCACACTTAATGGTATACTTTGGAATGCAAACCTTTAGATATTACCTAACCACACATGAAACACACACACAGAGAGAGAGAGGTTTCTCATCCTTCGGAGTGAATTAAGAAACCGAATAACAAATATGACAATAGTATTATGTTATTCCATTCAAATCGATCTAGCATATATTTATATTTTTTGTAATGGCGTAGAAAAACTATTCAAAATTCTTAAAGTGGAATCTCAGAGAGAATTGTATTAAAGGAAACCAAAAGTTAACCTTAGCGAATACTGGAAAATAGCCTTTCTAAACTTTGAAATTCCCTAAAAGGGAGTAATAAACTCTTCTGACCTCCAACCCTCCCCCAAACCACTGACCAATAAATACAAGACGTTTAATCTACACTTTCACAGAAAGTACAATTGTTTCCAATTATAAAAATTCTATCTTTCATCAGAAAAAAATAACTTCATTAAAATCCTATTTACAATACTTGTGGCATTGAGACTCTGATATGTTGGAAAAAAAGTAAATCATTTTTTTACAAAGACATGGACTGGCATGAAGAAGATAAAGAATTTTTCAAAATATTCTCCCATCTTGGTATTAAAAAGCATTCAAAAACGAGTCCCTTCTTTCTTAGACAATTGTCTCCGTTCAATTTTGCCCAGACAAGGTATCTAAGCTATTCATTAGCCACAAAGTCTATCACCCACGAAAGTTGTTTGCTTGAAAGTTGCTTCCATACTTTTTATAAGCAAAGAACACAATTACATAGCCTAACCACGAGATTTACTTTTATATCACCATGCGAAATGACCAAGCATCAAGAATACAGACTATGCATTTCAACTTTAAGCTACCAGGGGTGTGCGATAGACTTACCTCCACGCGGTGCACCCTGGCAAAAAAGCCTATTAACTGGCAGTTGACTTCTCACTTCAAACTGCCATGACCCCATTGTAAGTCACATTCCACCACTTCCACAATACTCACTTTGCTTTTTTCTACCTTCGTCTTTGAAACACTCTTCCGTCCCCCCCCCCCGCCCCTCTCGACTTTCACTTTGATGTTCCTTCTCCCTGTGAAGCCTGAAGTCAACTAAAGGGCTAATGATAACCATCAAAACGCCTACTACTTGATATAATAATAATAAAATAATAAAATTTAAGCTGCCAAGTTTGGTGCTATTATGAAACTAGGGAAGGACTAAACTGGAAACTTCGACAACAAACTTGGAAGCACTTTGCAGCAAGCTGACAGTTTGTCATTTCACGTGATCAGTCTCCCCCCCCCCCATCCGCAATAAAAAACAAACCTAAGATACCAATAAAAAGAACCAATAAGTGCATACAGTTTATTCATTCTTTACACTAACACACTATAATTCACATTGGCAAATAAAGAAGAAACAGCAGAAAGGCATGAGGGTAGGAACATTGCAAGTCACCAGTAAATGAATGTAAATAAGTATATAGAAACTTTCTTCTTAAAAAGAGATATCCTGTCTCTCACGTCCAACAAATGCGTTACTTATTAGTGTGGCTGCTTGCCAGACCGATTGCTACCTGACGTTGTTGAGCCAGGTCTTTGGACAGATCTATTAGGGTTAATTTGAGAGTTAAGGAGACTCGGTGAAATCATACCAAGGGGAGGCGGAGGTGGTGGGATAAATTGGGAGCCTCCGGGACCAGCTAGAGGAAAGGGTAAGAATGGCGGAGGGAGCTGCTGTTGAAGGTTCACTTGAGATAGATGAGGAGGACTTTTCTCTAATTGCCTCGAAATAGACCGATTTTCTGGAAGTTTCGAGGTAGCTAGAGAGAGCACCTGGGGTGGCGGTGGGGGAGGTGGTGGTGGAGGTAGAATTCCAGGTGGGAAGACTCCCAAACGATCGCCTACAAAAATCTTCTGTCTCAACATACCATTTTCTGTTCGGAGATCCTTCACCTGATTCTCAAGAGAGCGTGATGCTAATCGGTTCTCATGAAGTCGCTTATCTAATTCACTAACGTGACGACGATTAGACCTCTCCGTTTCAGCTAGCTCTCTTCGAGCTGAAGACAACTGTTCCCGAAGTGTGTTAACTTCAACCTCGGATGCTTGAAGTTTCTCACGAAGGAGCGCAATCTCCTCACACATTTCAGACTGTGAGAGCTCTTTCCTACCCAAATCCTTTTGTCTCTCCGCTTCACGTTTATGGAAGTAATCAGAAAGAACTTCCAGCTTAGTTTCTGAGGCTTCAAACTTCTCAGTAGCAGTTCGTAATTTCTGCCGCATTTCTTCTATTTCACTCTCAAGAGAATCAACTTTCTCCTCAAGTTCGACTCGTAATTTTGTCTCCTGATCTTTGGCCGAGGCAGCATTATGAGCCAATTTCTCAGCCTCTTCGAGAGCAACTTTAAGACGCCCAACTTCCTTGAGGCTATCAAAAGCCGACTGCAGATCACTATCGTTTAGTTCCTCTTTCTCTCTTTGCTGGCCACCTTCGACCTCCACAATAATATCATCCAAATCAGGATCTTCAACTTCCCAACCATCAACTGAAGTTCTATTTTCGCTTGTCTTGTTCTTTGGAGTTATTGGGGAGGCTACTGTCTTCTTACTCTTATTTCTCAACTCTGCAACCTTAATCTCCATAAATGCCTCTTTCACACTTAACAACTCGCGATCTCGAATGGCTAAATCCTCTTCAAATCGTTGATTTGCCTCCTTCAATTCACTTATGGTCTTCTCAGCACTTTCAACTTGACTTTGATAGCTCTTTACCTCTCGTACTAAAACCGCCTTCTCATCACGCAGTGTACTCACAATTTCATCATTTAGCCTTTCTTTTTCAGCAATGCTCTCCCCGTATTGTCGCGTGCACTCCTCCAGACGTTTATTCAACGTATTGATCTCGTCACGAAGATGAGCGGTATTGAAAGTAGCTTCACTTTTAACAGTAGATAATTGCTCTACTAGAGCGTCATGAGTATCCTTAAGTTCCTTATTCTCCTTGAGACTCTCCGCTAAAGCAGCTTTTGCATCTCTCAATTGGTTGTGAACGTGTGTGGAAGAGGTTGCGGCATGACGGTTCTGATTCTCGTAGCGTTCACTCACTTTTGTGGACCAGACAATTAGTCGCCCATAAGCTTCCTCCTTGTCTGCTAGACTGTCTGCTAAAAGGTTGGCATTTTCTTCTATAGCAAGCCACTGTGAAAGGGATCTTTGGGTAGGATCATCTACATTAGTTGATGAGAAGCCAAAGAGGAGGAGCTTATTTGCGAGCTTTATAACAAGATAGGTTACAACGACAGAGGTGATAAAGAGAGTCCAGCTGATGAAGAAGACAAGAGGTGTTTTAAAAGTGAAAGTGAATAAACTATGGAGAGGGGAAACGAGACCATGAGGAAGTTTACCAAGGAGTGTCTGAGCGGCATTGAAGTAGCGACGAGCGATAGAGAGAGTAATTGCAGCAACAAAGGACCTTTCTCCATTAAATGTCCCATTAGCAGCAAGGGAAAGACAATGAAAAAAAATAGACTCTTTAGCAATATCCAACAGAGGAGATGTGGGTAATAATTCGTCCCTAAACATTTCCAATTCATCTGACAACTGGACTTGAGCAATAGTATTGTGGATTTCCGGCTGGTTGATAGTATTCTCGACAGGAGGCTGCACAGTTCCCTCAGATTCCGGTGGCGATTTGCTACTTTCCTTAGGTTTAGGTAGTAATTTAGACGCAGAAAAGTTCTGGTTTGGAAGCTCTGGTACGGAGTCATCCTTAGGAATAGGAAATTCTTTAAAACCCCCCTCTTTTGGAGGTGCCTGGTCATAAGGTTGGTCAGGCGGTTGTTGAAATGTAGGAACAGAAGTTACCTCCATTTCTTCAATTTTTGAGAAGGTTTTAACATGTGAAGCAGGGTCGATTTCAGAAATATCTAGTGTTTTGGCTTCTTCTACCTTAGAAGGTGCCTTTTCATCTGTTTTCATCACCGACTCAACCGATACATGTTGTTGAGCACCATCAGATATAGATGTATGAGCAATATCAGATTCTTCCATTTTAACAATTGATTCAATATTTGGGTCAACAGCTTTGATATTTTGTGCCTGGACTTCTACCACCCCAGGAAGATCCTTAATTTGTGCTGTTTTCTCCAGATTCGGAGCCGTCTCAACAGAGGGTTGCTTTTCAATTTCCCCCACCTTGGTGACCTCCAAATTAGGTTTCTCGGGTAGTGGCTCCTGATTCACAGCTTTGATGCCTGGAGCAGAGGTTACCTTAGGTGTAATTTTGGTTGCATGCAGCTGTTCATCCTGATTTCGTTTTTTAACTTTATCCTGCGGCTGTTCCATAGTTTTAATTGTAGAAGCAGGTGTAAATTTAAGTTCAGTTTCAGAACCACTTTCCGCAGAGGGTTTATCATTATTCTGCTTCTTACTCTTAGGTTGCATTTTAATACCTGAATTTCCCTCCGATTGTTTGATCTCCGGTGGAGGAGTTACCTTAATTTCCACCTTATGAGATTGCTCCATGAGTGGTTTGACAGGGGGGTGAGAGAGAATTTCTTGAGGATCTTTATTATCAAGAGTAGTCTCATTGTCACTTGATGTTGGCATTCTTTGCTCCATAGATGGGGAAGGAGAAGTAGAGCTTAGAGATTCTTTAGAACCTGATGAATTATCTTTTTTATCCTTTTTAGATGGGTGATAGTGAGAAGTAGGAACCTCTTTCCCGGTTGAATCCAAATTCAGATTAGCTGGTGATTCCTTCCTTTGTGCTGATTCTGAAGAAGAAACCGAAAAAATAAAGTCGGGATTTATAAGTGACAATTGAGCCCTCCACAGCTCTCGTCCTTCATGGATATGTGTGTCGATGTTCAAGACACTGATAGGTATATCATAGGTGGCATCGCCAACCTTAATTCGATAAAAATCAGGCGACTGAGCGATAACTTCAGCCCGTGCGCCTTTGGAAAGAGAGAACTGAGGGAGATCGACAATTAGTTCACCTCGAAGAAAAGGAGTTTCACAGGTTGCATCAAAGCAATTCATTTCAACCAATTTTTCAGGGGGAGGATCCTCACAGTGAACCGAAGATACCAGACATGCGAAAAGAAATAACAGATGATATCTATTCAACATTCTGTTCAATCTAAAAGAAAACGAGAAAATATTTCAGCATTATGCATGAATAATATACATCACTTTCTCAGAGCATAAAGAAATTCATTAAAATTTAGTCTCATCTTGTTAAAATATAATTTTAAAAGAAAGTATTAAGAGCACTAATAAAATTTGAAGGGAACATAAGTTAACAAATGACACACGTAACAATAAAAGTAAAAAATTGTTCCCCCAATTAAATACAAATAGAACCAAATACTCAACTTCGACCAGAAGGGCTTATGGAGGTTTTAAACTCAAAAGGAAATTACAATTAAGGTGTATAGAATTGGTAGTGATTATTATAAAATTAGAAAGAGGAAGGAAGTAATTTCAACAGCAGATACGGATGAGCATACAAATTTAATACGTGTTTATTCAAAATAAAACCACAAAAGAAACAGTAAAAGATATTAATTGACAACTAAACGCGAAACTTTTATAAAATAATAACCTCTGCATTTTAACCAAATAAGCATGTTGAATTTCTGACAAACCAAAGGTTTATAAAATAGTCTTTCAAAAGACAGAAAATAGTTGTATAATTTACTGATGACGTTACCGACGTTAATTCGTGAAATAAAACCAATGCTCAACTGGGTCAAATTTGACATAACAACTACGTTTGCTTTTGATTATCTAGGTTAGGCTAAAATCGCCTCTTTCTTTCGTTCACTAATATGTCTTATTAAAAACATAAAGCTATTTAATCCCTAAACTAACTGGTAATTTATTAAATTATTTATATGTAACTTCATTTGTTTTTACAATTTTTTCAACGAAGGTGTATTAAAATCACATACCCCACCTGATGAGTCTTTCTAAATTCCATTGTCCAATCTATATCTATTTACAAACCAGCACAGTAATTGATTGAAGTGAACAAAATCAAATAGACCAATAAATAATAAATATATATATATATATATATCAATTTTTGCCTATATGTAATTTTAGGCGCTTATTCCGAATAGATTTAAAACAAATTAATCTCATTTGTCAATAAAGCGTAGATGGATGCCTCAAATCGTTTTCAAGTTTTTAATCGAACCGTGAAAAACACAGACCACTTTCGGTTTTTATATCTTGCATTAGAAAAATCAAATTTTTGTGGATACTATTTGGTGTATTTACATGCTTTTAATTCCATTTTTACGAAGCAATGCCTATATATAAACCGTTTATTATATTTTGCCTAATTGTCTTAAAGTCGTTCATTAATCCTTTTTATATTTAGGAGTTTATCACTTCTAGCAACTCAAAATTTATTCGAATCTAAGGTTATTTGTTTAATAGAGCACGGTAATCTAAAGTTTAAAATGCGATTTCAATGAGTTTCCCTATATGCATTTTAAATTAATGTTATTTCAAATGGCAGGCGTTTTGAATAGTTGTCATTAGCCATTTAGCTGACTTCGGGCACAAAGTAAAATATATCCTATATTTACCACCCCCCCTTTTCCTGAGACAACTGTAATAAAGAAATACCTAATTGACGATGTGCATAGCGCCAGAAGTACAGCCCCAAGGAGTAAAGAGCCATTTTATAAAAGTTGCTTTCGAGCTGTCAAAGGTTTTCAGATAGTAGTGATGAGGGAGTCCGGGGCATTATTAATTATTTTTACTACTGTGGCTTGAGGAAGCAGCTCATGTCCTGAATATTGTCTCTTCCCTGAGATCTGTCTTCTTTCAGTTTGCATTTAAGGCTAGAATGCTTCCTCTTACTTCAGCTCCAAAATTTTTCCAAAACATCGCCTCCGACTTTTAGTGGTGATCTACGTTTTGTCACAAAACTTACAAAAACATAACGTGTATCAATTTTAGTCTATGCAACGTAAGCGAAATCACTGCTAGCTCAAACAAAAATGAAGACTTCATAAATTCTATGGTTATATTGCCATATCAAGCCAAAAATACTATAAGAAATAAGTGATCAGAAAGATACAATTTTATCGACGTCACAGCCTTAAGGATGGTGATACTTACGTCATCAATTAGTACATGAAACTATAACATTTCACGTTTAGGATACTCTAGGCACACATCTTGACTCCAAGGTGTTATTAAGCAAGTGACAGCGTGGTTTGCATCGGAAAAAGACGACGAGTTTTTCTGCCGGAAGGAAGTAGATTTATTTAGATGCCCAATCTCGCTGTTACTTTTACGGCTACTGGTACCGTTCAATTGCTTGATTCGAAGATTCCTTAGACTCCATTTAGAACGTAAATTTCTCGAACTATCTTGAGTAGTCTCTAATGGTGCTCTGGGGTCATATGCACTAGGTGGACTCGATTGGCCAGTCCTCCTGTTGTCACTTTCTGCCACTAAGGTTCTAGCCTTTTTAAGGGCCTCTTTTATGTGAGCAGTAGAAAGATCGAAGGAGCGCATGGATTCCGACTAAAATGAAAATGACTAATTAAATATTATGCATCTATCTATGACCCTAAATTTCCGGAAAGTAAGGAATACAATGGATAAGCAGTTTGTAGCATGAGTTTTCGCTTATTGGTAAATAATAACAAAAAATGTATATTGTGTCTTTAAATTTGTTATTAATAATATTTGGATTCAACAGTTAAGGTACTTCAACTCACCAAAATATCTGGTGACATGGATTCAGGCATCGGACCAGTAAGAAAAGATGCGAGATGATCAAAATCGTAAAGAAGGAGTTGATCTTCATACATTTTCAGAATTCCCAAGGCGGCTAAGATAAGAGCGGCTTCTCCATCTCGAAGAAAGAGATCCCAAATGCGTAAGTCCACTTCCAATGGGAGACTCCGACTGTAAATACAGAAATACCACTTAAAAGAAACACCGTGAAATGGGATAATAGGCTGTGTACACTTACCTAAAGACTGTGAAGAGCCAATCAAAGAGATATAGTTTACTGTCCAATCGGCAAGTTTTCAGATGAGAAGAAAGTTTTGGCATTTTCTCCCCCAATAACGTATCGAAAGTTTCGTAATATGCTGCGAACTGAATGGGTAAAAGAAATAACCCCAATTTTAATGTATTGATTTAAGAAAACGCGATGATTTGACAGCTTATTTAGAAGATAGCTCCCCAAAGGTATCTTAAGTTTACCAGATGCTTTTTAGACTACAGATAAACGCCTCGTTTGACTTCACCTCACTTAAGCCAAACCGTTGTTAAAGTATCACTTATAGAACATGACTGATAGGTATAGGTAGATGCTCATTTATACATTCCAACATTACCGTTATTACTTCTAATGTCCATGAATGTACCTGAAGACCGGGAAGGAACAACGGAGTACAATAAGGTATGAAGCAGGAAACGGGCATCAAGTTTTACTTTGTTTAAATAATTGTTGTATTGTGTTCCTCACGTTTTTACAGGGCGTGCAGTTTAAATTGCAATACCCACAACTTCCGAACTCGTGAACGCCATTATCTTCGCAATACGCATAGCTTGTTGGTGAATTAATTTTATTAGGTAGTTAGAAATAGCGCCTCAGTTCGGTTGACTCCTGCCACTTGCATGATTAGGCAGATGAGATTACCAAGTGCTCAATGTAATTCACTCAAGACATGCATTAACGAATCTTTTTTGTCATTAATAATTAATTTTAAACTGTGCTATCAGCACGAGCACGATTTGAATTACCTGTCATTATATTCACTAAAGCACATCACACCAAAGTTATGTTAAAAATCATCCTCAAAATTTTTAAGAAACCAGAGAATTCCAATCTGCACATTTGTGATGCTTTGGTTTCAATTAAACAAGCACGAGGATAGTAGTAATAACGGCAATAGTAAAAAAGTGATCCGGCGTCTTCCTTACATGAATAAAACTAACCTCTGATTCATCTAAAGCATAGAACGCATAGAAGCTGGGTCGATTCATGAGGGTAGCAAAGGCGATGAATGCAGCGTAGATATCATCCATAACAATGAGTAGAATTGCCGCAATAAAAGACATGCCTTGAAGATATCCCAACGTCGGTTGATAGGCCACATAAGCTGCTAAAAGATCGTGCAAATTTCGCTGATGTGAGCCTTCTGATTGAAAAACGCCAAGCATTGGAAATGTACGTGAGACATCTAAACGGATCACTTGAAGGGAAGACTCTTCATCTAATTGGTAGAGAAAGGAACAATTGGCGCAAGATGCTAAGAAAGTGATAAATAAATAAGAAGAATACAAAAAGGCAAAAACAAATCCATGAAGTCGGCGTAGTCTATAGTTAAAGGAAAAACATCGGTTGAATAGCTGAGCAATCAATGAATAAGCTTAGCAATCATGCGTGCGCAACAAATTTAAAGGAGAAGGCAGCCAAAAATGACTTGATTCTTATTAGCCACATATAGCATACACGAAGCCTAAAAGAGTGATAAACTTATAAGAATACGGTCAAGACACTAATATATATATATATATATAAACCTCAAATAAGCAATATTTAGCTTGGAAGAACCGGGGTGTGCGATAGCCTTACCTCCACGTGGTGCACCCTGGGCAACGCATACTCATACGGCCAAAAAGTCTATTAACTGGCAGTTGACTTCTGACTTCAAACTACCCTCACCCCATTGTATGCCGTATTCGACTACTTCACAGTACTCACCTCACCTTTTCCCACTTTTGTGTCTGTCTCTTTTACATCTTTGAAACTCTCCTCTGTTCAACCTCCCCCTCTCGACTTGTTTCACTTTGATGTTCCTGCTCCTCTGTGAAGCCTGAAGTCAACTAAAGGGCTAATGATAACTTTCACAACGCCTGCCATTTGATA